TATATATATATATATATATATATATATATATATATATATATATATATATATATATATATATATATATATATATATATATATATATATATATATATATATATATATATATATATATATATATATATTACAATATTCTATAAATTCTCCCGAATGTTCGGCGTTAATATGTTTATAGTTCGTTTTAAAAACGAACTATAAACATCCATAATAGAATTTTGGTTATTTAACAATTCGATTCAATGAATAATTGACATTTTTTTCTAAAAAAATATTTTAACTAATAATTTAACTATTTATTATCGTTATTGAGTGGTTTCATGCTCACAACATATTAATAACTTTTCCTGGTTTCCTGAATAAAAAAGTATTTCATTTTATGTTAAGTTCTAAAAGCTAAGTAAATAAATTAATAAATAATTAAAATATGCATAATTTCACAATTTGCTTGTCAGGCTGGCTTTCAATGTTTTTGTTCAAACTCGTTTGGAGTATTTGGACTGAGTGAAGGTTGCTGCACCAGCTTATGCACTGGATCTGGCGAAGCAAACTGTGGTGGAAAATTTTGCAACAGCATTTTCAACAGTGAGTCCTACTTGTTTTAATGTTTTTAATAGTTTTGTTTAACTTTTAAAATTACAATCTGTTCTTAAAATAATTTAATATTGGTGTTCGTTCGAAAGCAGTAACATGTGATTTCACTCTAAATTAAATTGCTCTCCCTTATCGTCGAATATTTATTTGGTTTATAGCCTACCGGGTTTGCTTTGTAGAGGAAATTTGAGAAAGTTAATTCGTGTGTTTTTTTCGTAAAATAAGAATATTTTCAATAGTTTTTTAGTATAGTTTGAAATAATTTAGTGTAAAACAATGAGTCGTTTTGGTGTAAGGAGATGAAAATAAAGGGATTGTCTTAATGTTTCAAACACGATAACAAAATGAGTTTGCGTTAATGAACAATTCTGAAAAACTTAATCATATCGAATTTCTAAATGCTGTCAAAATATCTTTGACTCGGACAAAAGTAAAAGCTGAAAATATATTAATTTTACGCGTTGAAACTTTGGCTAATGTCAAAATAAAATCATGCAAACGTGGAAGTAGTAAACATGAAAAACTCTTGAAGCTGACATAGATGTTAAACACTAAAAATTCAATAAACTCCCAATCAAACCAACCTGTCTTGCAATTTTAGAGAAGATTCCAGAAACAAATGCTAAATATTTCACAATTATGTTTCATTTAAAAGGAAAATTTTTAAAACTATCTCGATGGACATAAAGCACAAATACTGTGTATTTTAAACAAAACTGACTTTTTTTGTACCGTTTATATTTCAGGTGCCAACTTTAAACGTTATTGCATCAACCCTATAGTTTGAATTAATTTAGAAGCCTCTTTATTTAATACAACATACTTTTGTTTGAACGAACAATCACGTGACCTTATCAGAAAACAAATTTGTATAAATGAATATATGCATGCATGAGTGTGTGTGTGTGTGTGTGTGTGTGCTCAGCGCACGCTGAACGTGTGTATATGTATAAATAAGCCCCAAGCAAAATCAGGTGGTCCAATTAAATAAAATAGTTTTTAACTTAGTTATGATCAATCATTTTCCTACTAGTTTCATTTCATTTAGGTTTTATTTGAAAGAGTTGATCAAATTATTTGTATGAATTTTGTATACGTGCAGTTTGCGACAAAGGGATGTACGGAGTGAACTGCAGCTTGAAGTGTCCATGTGGTCCACAGTGTTTGTGTAACCGCCTCAGTGGAGCAGTCGTTTGAAGTTACTTTGGAAAATATTTTACCAATGAACTTAATCCAATTGTTACTTATACGATTCAAATATATTAAATATTCGATTCGTGATAGATTCGTTGGAAATTACTGATTTTTTTCATGTATATATATATATATACATATATATATGTATATATATGTATATATATATATATAAATATATATATATAAGTGTGTGTGTGTAAATATATATATATTTATATATATACAACATTATTAAATATTTCAGCCCATTTTGCTCTAATAAACTTTTTTATAATACATTCAACAACTCGTAGTTGGTTCAATTCATATTTATTCAGTAAATGTGTCAATCATCAGGCTTACAACGTTGTCTCGACGTGAGCGCCATCTTCAGAGCCTGAAATAATATTTTGTGTTAATGGGAAGGTGTTTACATTAATACGAGATATAATTAAATTAATATGGAATATAATAGAATTAAATTGATAAAATTAAATTAAATTGATAAAATTAATTTAAGAGTTAACATTGTAAGTTTGATTATGAAATAAAATAAAGTTAGGTATGAAAGGTAAAGTTACATTTAATATTTGTAAAAATAAATATGTTGTAGTCTTGTGAGTCTAAGTAAAACATAATTAAATTATCCATAGATAGAGATTTATAAATAATAAATAGATTTATAAATAATAAATAAGAACTAGACACTTATTAGAATATTTAGTAGAGCAAATAAAAAAATAAATAAAACCAATTACGTAAAGTTATTAACGACAAAGCAAACTTAGTGGAAATTTTCTTATTATTACCCGGCGGGATATTGTGTACATAGTCAATACGAATTATTGAATGAAGAATGAAGTGGTATAAAGTAATTTTTCATTGTGTATGTAAGTGTGCAGCGTAGTATGGTATTGAGTAATAAACGATTTGTAACAGGAATGTAAATCTTTCAGCCAAATTTGCACTTTAATAGTTTGTTTAGCAAAGGTTTTCGATGTTTAATAAACTTACATGAAATGTAAACGTCGTGTAATCTTGTTAAGATTAATTTCAACACAACTAAAAAAATAATTATTATATGATAGATTTTTTAATTGTACTATTTTCATTGTCGTTAAATTAAGGCTTATGATGTATTAATTATTTTGTTTAATTACGTGATTACAAGTATTGCTAGCAAGTTTGTCGAAATTTCAGAACGTTGTTATTGTTTGCTAAATTAAAGAATGGTCAAAGTTCAATTAAATGTTAAATAACACTTCACAATTTAATGTTTTTTTTCACCTCCAATGTCAAAGTTAAATGTCGTCCTGCCAAATTGGCACCGCTAAAGATACTCAGACTGCTACTTTATCGCTAAATCTATTACAAGTAATGTTTATTTCCAAAATTTAAAATAATTCAGCTTCTTTACAAATTAAAAATCCTGTTTCTTGACTCGATATGTAGCACAACAAATGTTCATAATACATATTTCCAAGTTTAAATTTTTGAAATCAAATTTTTAACTACATCAAATTTCAAACAAATATCAACGTTTAACCATTCAGATTATATTAAATTTGATTTAGTACCGTAACTTTTAGGTGCTCATATCATACTCACAGAGGACGCACTCTTTAAAGCCGCAATACTGATCATCCCAACCAGGATAATCATAGAAGACGCTTTGTATGCAGTAGTCGCTACCGTCGGTTCTAGAGTTTGGTTCTCCTGGATACCAGACTGACGCCTCTATCTGCACAAGCTTGGAAACTCCTTGTTCGCGAATACATGTGTAATCATTTAATATTTAAATGTATGGAACAATTTTAAGATTGGTGAAATTTGGATCGGAAGTCATCAAAAGCACGAAATAAAATTGACGAGAGAAAATAAAATTTTGAAACACAAGTTAAATATCACTAATTTAGTGAGTAGAAAGAATTCAACCTGGATAAGGTGACCAGAAAAATGATCTAACACCGTTCATGAAGGTTTGATATCCGCTTGTAAAAAATCCTAAAGAGTTACCTATGCCGGCCGGACATTGCCCAATATCTGCATATAATGCGAATGAGTTGAAGTAAATGTTTACACACCTTTTTAATAAAGCAAAAGAGCAAACCAAAAAACCAACAAGTGAAGTTGACGTATTGAATGGAGATGGTGTTTTCCAGGAGATCATCAATGGTTATGGGATGAGATGACGAGATGCTGTTACATAATGACCTCCCAGCACTCCAGCTCTGAAGTGTGTACTGCATCTTGTAGCACTTGTGGTACTCTACCACGTAGTCAAAGTTGGCTGGACAATCTGTAGTGAAACAATCCAATACATTACAAATCCTTCCTACAATGGAATAATTAAAAAAAATTGCTAAACTCTCCATGGTAAACGAAACTCCTGCAACCAGCACCAGCAGCCGTCAGATCAACAGCAGTAACATTGTAGCGAGTATTTTCTTTGGAAAGACATGAGCATGATCCAGTGGACTGAATGAAATTCACTCCTCTCAATTCATTGCTTGTCGCGAACTTCAGCATGCAGTAGAGTATCAAGCGTACCAGAATTGAAATATTTGTTCATGCATATTAAATTTGAAGTAAATTATTTAAAAGAAAACTCGATAAAAAATATAAAAATATTAGCAAATGTTCAACATTTGATCAGATGAATTTTTATATTTAGGAAAAAAATAAATTTCTGATTTCTATAGTTATTCATTCATCATATAACGTTTGATTAATAGTTAGTTAATGGTTAATATAATTTCAAAACGAACCAAACATTTAATTAGGCAATTCATAGTGCTTCTTGCTTTTGTTTTCTTAGAAATTGACATTTGATTATCGAGGCAAACAGGAATTTTCTTGTTCTTAGCAATCATGTAACTGTATGCAAGTCTAAACTTCTTCCCACTCCTCTCCTTTTGCACTTGCTGTTCGCTTAGATGTGCAACAAAAAGTGATGCCAGCACTTCCATTAAAAATATTTTATTCAATGTATTCATATATGGAGACATGCTAAAAATTTTTGAATTTGATTCAATGTGAAATTGGAATGATGAATAGCCTATAACTTGACACATAAATTTAATTTTTTAATCGCGCACTTCAAAAAAATATAGAAGACCTATTTATATTCTAACAAATTAAAATATTTTATTTACATAGGTAAAAAGGTGCCCTAAATTTAGTATATAATTTAATTTAGGAAAAACTTCGTATGAAGCAAATATTTGTCTAAAAATAACAAGCGGACAAGCCGCAATGGACCTTTCAACAGGCTTTACATGCTAATGTTGACATAGCAAATAACGGTGAAATCAAAGTAACTTAATTCTGAATTTGCATTTATATTTTTAATTAGTTTTTTTTATTTCATATTTTTATTCATTATTATTTTGTTATTATTGTTATTTTGAGTTTGAAAAAATTTGTGTTTAAACAATAGGCTTTTGTTTATTTTTATTAATGAAATTTCTTTCAAGGTGTATTTGAAGGAAGATGTTCAATTTATAAGCAACGCTATTTTATTGAGAAGAATTAGAATGTAAGTTATTGAGATTGAGTTGACATAAAACTTTTGAAACCAATTCAGGCCATACATAATTAACCTTAAAAAATTCGATCTAAAAATTTTTACAAACAACTTAGCAACTGATCTAGTGTCACATTTTCATCTACCTCAATTAACACCAAACAAAATTTAATTTGCTTGCTCGTTTGTGCTTAATTGTGAAATAAATTTGACAGCATAGAAACTAAACTGTTGCCTTTTTACGGTTTTTTATATGTTATAATAAGTTAAACAAGCAGTTACGAATGTTTGAAGAAGCAATTACAAAGTTTCTTAAGGTGATGACGCTAAACAGTGTCACCGGTCAGACGATGGCACACGCACGTTGGAGCACACGGACATTTCACGTTGCAGTTCTGCCCGTACATCGCGTTATCACAAACTGCATGGACAAAGTTAATTACAAAAAATTAATCATTTTAAATTGTTAAACTGTTTGTTCAAAAAAAGTTTAAGATATCATAAAATGTTGAACAATTAACGTCTTAAGAATTATGTTGAAATTAAGATCTACTTGCCAAACCAAAACTTTGACGTACTTATAATTTAAATGCTCTGCCAGAAATGCCAAATAAACTAAATACCGGATGATGTCCAATTTTGATGTTAAAGGACAAGTTGTCCAGCTAGTGATGGTAGTGGTTTCTAAATGCTAGAGACAGAAAAAAAAAAAAGTCGAAGTAAAAAAAAAACAAAAAAAATAGTTAAAGAGAGAATGACAGATAAACAAAGAAAAATCAGAAAAGCGAAAAAAAGTCGAGAGAGATAAAAGATGCCAGATGGGAAGAGAAATAGAGAGCGAGTGTGAATGGGAGAAAAAGGTAGGGAAAAAGGTAACGTAAAAAATGAGATTGAGTAAGAGTGAGAAAGAAAAAGAGAAAAGTACATAAAAATTGAAACATCAATAAAAAAAGAATGACAAAACGTCAAATAGGCAGTTTCATTGTAGAACTAAAAAAACGCTTGGTAATGTGCTGAAAATATAAGGTAGAAGACTGACAATTCTTATCTAAAGCCAAAACATCTAATTGATTTCAAACATCCTTAGTTACCTGTTTTTGGTAAAAAATAGTTTTTTTCTTTTCCTTCTTTTACCAAATCAAACCAAATCAGTCTGCTGAAGTACATGCAATTAATTAGAGTTAATCAGTAGACAGATATTGGTCATTGTTCCCTATTCCTAATGAATTGCATAAACATTTTATTTTATATAAATTTTCAAAGTTTTCAAAAAAAGGAAAAATTTACAGATAAACGAATTCTATTTGACAACTGAAATTTAAATATTTTTTTAAATAAAATAAAATAAAAATTGATAATAAAAGATTTTGAATAACTGGCAATTAAATATTCTTGTTATAGTTTTGCGTTGTCGAAACAAAAAATTGTGATCGGAACAATTTCGCCCATTTTATTTTACAATTCACCTGCTTTCATTAAGTTTGAGTTGCCCTTCAACACGATTTTTTAGTTGAAACAAATTATTAGAATGATAAAAAAAGATATTTACTAAAAACTATTAATGACAAAATTAAAAAATATTTTATCACCTCCACCGGTTTTTTAAATTATATTTATTTATATAAAAGTAATTGTATGCAACACACAAATAACATTTCTAATGAATGATAGATTTTTCTAGCGAGCGACAGACATCCATTCAAAACATTTTCATTTAACATGAAAATGTTTGTTAGCAATCTATAAAAAATTCTGAGAGCCTTTCGTGTTTTGAAAATATTGAATCAATATTATTGGACACTCATTCATTTGAATGCGATGTTGTGAAAGAAATATTTTTTATGATGCAGCTTAAAACGTGAATCACAAAGTTGAATTTTTATATCACACTTTCAACTTGACATTCAACGGTCGACACATTTATTGAAAGGATCGAATGAAATATTTAAGGCATTTCACGTTATGACAGGTTGAAACATACTTTTGTGTGGCAAAAACATTCAATTTTAGTGTTCGAAAATTGAAGTTTATATTTCATTGTTTCGAATTCCCATAAAAAAAAAAATTTTAATCATGTTACGAAAATATATGTTAATGTTCAATTTTTTTCTGAACGTTCATTCATGTAGCACATTTTTACCAAATAAAAATTCTTACGGCCTGAAAACCTGCGCCATAGATAATCCCGACGTTCAGCACAGTTTCGGATATGATTCCCACCTCAAATGCATTGCACTCTGCTCCACCGTCAATTCGTGTGTCGGATGCAGTTATCAGTTAGATCAGAAACTTTGCTCGTTGTTTCTTGATCGAACGAAACTGACAACCAAGTACGAGGTTTCAGAAAACTGCGTTCTTTACCAGGTTGGGTTTTCTTGTCATTTAGATCAGTTATCCTTTATTTCCAATTATCTAAAAAGATAATAAAATTTTATAAATATGTAACACGGTTCTTTTTTTAAATTTTATTTTTGCATATTTGTATTACAGCAGCTTTAACAATGAAACATGCAAACAAAACGTTCATTAAGAAAATAGTGTAGATTTTTGGCGGGCGACATTTGAATTCCGCACCACGCGGTCCCAAACCGCGTTCGCATACGAATATCCACCCGAGCCTTCACTTCGGAGGAGTCCTTTCTGGGCGGGAGCCGCCACTCCACAAGGGACCCTTTAGGGTCTGAAAACACCGGCCGGGCGGAAGTTTGTTAGGCGCCCTACTTGTTGACCAAAGACGCCAGCCTCGTCAACTATCAACAAGTCTTCGTCGACATTCATAATTTTAGGTAAAATATAATTAAGCCGAGCCAAATTTCAAGTTTATACTTCTTTTATTCGATAAAAACAAAAAAGTAAAAATCAAACCTCTGTCTTTGTATGCAAAGTAACAATTAACACGCGATATATCAGAATTAACTATCTATTAATACTATCTACTATAACTATTACGCAAAATATCAAAGATCCATGCGACACTAAAATCAACAGCTAAAAATAACACCAAACCAAAAAGCGAAACCATAAAGCCGGACCCTTAATATCTCAACTCGCTGCATTGTATATGTTTTCACAGCCATATCTACATAACGCTTCCTATACCAAAAAAAATTCTATACTCCCTTCTATACTCTTTTCTATACTCCCTATATACAGAACAGCACGTATCAAGCGTCGCATATATCGTATATATAGCATAGCAAATAGCATGTATATATCTACATACATATTTTAATGTTCATGTGGAGAGGAAAGGTGATCCTAACACAGTCTCATTGAATGATGTTTCCGATTGTTTTCAGTTGGTTAACAGAATTAACGAACCAAGGCATGAATTAGGTGGAGTTTTGGACTTGTTCGTTACTTCTCGCTCTTTTCCTATCGTTAATAGTTTGATTTTTCCCACTGGAGTGTTATCAGATCATGGATTAATCCAGGTTTGTTTGTCAATCAATCAAGTTGTAGGTACAAGAAGTGAAAAAATGGTTCGATCCTGGCGACGCATAAATGAAGAAAATCTCGCATTGTTAATTTCGAAATCCCCGATTGGAGGGCCATGCCAAGATAATTATATAGAAACGCTGTTAGAGATCTTTGTGAATGAATTGAAGAGAATTGCAGACATAATAGCTTCAGAACACGTGGTTGAAAGTCGTGATGATTCGTTGACGCCTGGTTTCAGGAGATTGTTCAAAGTCTAAGGCATACTGTAGAAAAATGGAAAGTAAGTACAGAAAGACTTTAAATCATCATGATAGGGATGTGTGGAAAAATGCTCCGCGATCAAAAAATATTTTATTCGCCCATAAAAAAAGTTTGTTTTGGAAAAAAAATCTTTTTTGAAGATAATAGAAATTCTAAAATATTTTGGGCTGTGGTAAATAAACTGTTGCGCAAGGAAAAAACTTCAAATTCATCCACCAATTTTGAAGCGAACAATTTTGCTACATTCTTTTATGACAAAATTAAAAATGTACGAGAATCGATAGTGTATGATGAAAAGTTTAATCATTCATCTCGTGTCTGCTGCAGCAACTTGTTTTCAGTTTCTCCTGTTTATGACGAAAAAGAAATTGTTGAAGCAAATTTAAACTCTCCATCTAAACATGTTCACTGGGTTGTGTTCCTTCACACTCTTTCAAAAAATATGTAGGATTGTTTTCAAAATATTTGACTGATTTTATATACTTATGTTTACGTACTGGTGAGTTTCCGGCTATGATGAGCATGCTAATTTCTCCTCTTTTGAAAAAGGAAAAATTAGACAATTCTAATCTTAATAATTATAGACCGGTTTCAAATCTCTTGTTTCTGTAAAAATTAATTGAAAAATTAGTTTCTAAGGAGTTTATGAAACACTTAGATAAAAACAATTTGTTATAGGTATATCAGTCAGGTTATAGAAAACATCATTCAACCGAAGCTGCTTTGTTGCATGTGTTATCTAAGTTGCATGAAAATATAAACGACAGCAAACCATCTCTTCTTGGATTCTTAGATATGTGTTCGGCATTTGGCTGTGTCGATAATTGCATTCTTCTGAAACGTCTTAATCATAGATTTGGAATAACTGGTTCTGTCGAACAATTTTTTCGGTCGTACTTAACTGACAGAACTTAGCAGGTAATCTACAAGAATAAGACCTCTTCGGTTCAAACGATAAGATTTGGTGTTCCACAGGGCTCGGTTCTCGGACCGATCTTGTTTATTCTTTACACCTCTAAATTATTGAGGCAATCAGATTACATGGTTTGGAGTGTCATGCATTTACAGATGATATTCAGCTATTCGCCACAGAATCGTAAAGCAACTTTCATCTTGCAGTTGATCGTTTTGTTAAATGTTTGGTCCAGATCGAGAAATGGATGCTAAATAATCGTCTTAAGCTCAATCAAAGCAAGACGCAGCTGTCTAGAATTAAAATTTATTCAGTTATCAGTGAGGATTCAAATATAAACTTCATTCCCAAAGCTACAATTTTGGATGTCATTTTCATTGTCATTGTCATGGCTGGCAATGACTGAACATAACAAGTTTTTATCTGGAACTGCAACCCTACAACTGGGAAAATTAAAAATAATCCGCAAAAGCTTAACCGAAGATGTTATTAAAAGTATAGTGCATTCATTTTTTTCATTCTAGACTGGATTACTGTAACAGCCTATTTTATGGTTTGCCTGAAAAATCGTTATCAGTGCTTCAGTCAATTTAGAATCGGGCAGCTAAGATCGTGGTTGGTGCAAAAAAAGTTTGACCTTGTTACCCCGATATTCAGAGAACTGCACTGGTTGATGGTCAAATAAAGAACTTTGTTCAAAATATCAACAATCATGTTCAAATATATGAAGGGAATGGCGCCAATTTATTTGAAAGAAATGCATGCACCGAAACAACTGTCTTTTAAAACTGTCTGCTTAAGGTTTATGATAGCAACTTGAAAATGGCGGAGAGAAGTTTCTCAGTAAGTGGACCAGCTGTTTGGAATAGTCTACCAAATTATCTAAGACAGCCCGAACAGACAAAAAAAATCATTCAAGAAATTAATGAATTCATTTTTGTTTTCATTATAAGAATTTGTTTATAGTAGCAATTCAACTGTTTTTTTAGACAGTGCTTTTGAGAAACATTTTGTTTGTAATTAGCGCTATACAAATTTTTGAATAATAATAATAATAATAATAAAATGTTTATTTAAATACATTACTATATACAGCCGGCACACTTCAAATACGCAATTATTATCATCGCAATCTTCATAATTTCACAATAAGAACTCTATATTTTTTGCTGTCACATAATCCCAGTTTTTTATTTAATGTAATTTTTTTTAATATAATAAGAATATTATTCAAAAATATTTCAGAGAGAGAAAACTATTTTGAAAACAAAATTTGACGGTATTTCTTCTCTATGATTTTTACTTACTAACTTTTATATTTTACTTTTGCATTGTGTTAAATTTTCACAATATTTTCTACTGCAAACATGAACATTAAGATGTGTCAGCTCATTACGTCGGCTGTTACATTGATGAGGCAAGCAGGGATCTCATACATCAAGAGCCGAATGATGTTAGTTTAACTGTTGAAAAATGTTGGAAGATCTGTGGCGACCTCAAATACACCGTGTTCGCTTTACAGGTTCCTTTTCTCATGGTATTTTTCTGAATGTGTGTGTATACAGATCCATTCTAAAATTTTTTTAATTAAAAAAACTAATCTAATGTTCAGGATATTGAACGTTTATAAAAAAATAATTCGAGTTAGTTGAGACCATAAAAAAGCTCTACTTTGCGCTGCTGTGTGGAAACTGGAAAATGTGATGAGGCAACAGTTCGAATGTTGACCGCACAATTTTTATGCGTCTCTAAAGTACAAAACCCATCAATAGAGCCATTATTTGAAACATGAACAATGTTGTTACTTTTATTAATGGCTTAGTTTTAATGTGATAGTCATCAACCTTCTTATTATAAATAAAATCTTATGAGTGTTTGACAGTCAGTAAAGTTTTATTCAGAGTAGAACAGAGTGAAATTTATTTTTTAATCCCAAAAATGCTTTATATATAACAAGTTGGCAAACCTAGTAATATTTGTGAAATATCAACCTCTCACCCAGAATTCAGACCAATGTTTTTGTTCACATTCGCATGGAAAATATGGAATGGATTCCGGTTGCGTGGCTCGTTGCAAAGGATCGGCTGATGAAATTTGTGGAGGATACTGGAGGAACAGTCTTTACACAGGTGTGCAATTTTTCCTAAACTAATCCAGAGATGGGTGGTCAATAAGTTAGTCGACGGTAAATAATAATTTTATTCTTATTCACTCAAATAATTATAATATCTTATTTTCAACAATTAATGAAAAAAAACAAATTAAATCCTAATAAATCATATTACAATAACTGTCATTGTACTAACATGCACACAGCAGCAAGTATAACAAATAACGTAGCCAGAACAACACATTTGTTATAAGATAGCCACATATTGCCTGCTTATTTTTTAGGCCACTTTAATAATAATTTAAATTTAAATATTTTATCATATTTTTTTGAACAAACAGTTTAACAATTTAAAATGATTAATTTTTTTGTAATTAACTTTGTCCATGCAGTTTGTGATAACGCGATGTACGGGCAGAACTGCAACGTGAAATGTCCGTGTGCTCCAACGTGCGTGTGCCATCGTCTGACCGGTGACACTGTTTAGCGTCATCACCTTAAGAAACTTTGTAATTGATTCTTCAAACATTCGTAACTGCTTGTTTAACTTATTATAACATATAAAAAACCGTAAAAAGGCAACAGTTTAGTTTCTATGCTGTCAAATTTATTTCACAATTAAGCACAAACGAGCAAGCAAATTAAATTTTGTTTGGTGTTAATTGAGGTAGATGAAAATGTGACACTAGATCAGTTGCTAAGTTGTTTGTAAAAATTTTTAGATCGAATTTTTTAAGGTTAATTATGTATGGCCTGAATTGGTTTCAAAAGTTTTATGTCAACTCAATCTCAATAACTTACATTCTAATTCTTCTCAATAAAATAGCGTTGCTTATAAATTGAACATCTTCCTTCAAATACACCTTGAAAGAAATTTCATTAATAAAAATAAACAAAAGCCTATTGTTTAAACACAAATTTTTTCAAACTCAAAATAACAATAATAACAAAATAATAATGAATAAAAATATGAAATAAAAAAAACTAATTAAAAATATAAATGCAAATTCAGAATTAAGTTACTTTGATTTCACCGTTATTTGCTATGTCAACATTAGCATGTAAAGCCTGTTGAAAGGTCCATTGCGGCTTGTCCGCTTGTTATTTTTAGACAAATATTTGCTTCATACGAAGTTTTTCCTAAATTAAATTATATACTAAATTTAGGGCACCTTTTTACCTATGTAAATAAAATATTTTAATTTGTTAGAATATAAATAGGTCTTCTATATTTTTTTGAAGTGCGCGATTAAAAAATTAAATTTATGTGTCAAGTTATAGGCTATTCATCATTCCAATTTCACATTGAATCAAATTCAAAAATTTTTAGCATGTCTCCATATATGAATTCATTGAATAAAATATTTTTAATGGAAGTGCTGGCATCACTTTTTGTTGCACATCTAAGCGAACAGCAAGTGCAAAAGGAAAGGAGTTGGAAGAAGTTTAGACTTGCATACAGTTACATGATTGCTAAGAACAAGAAAATTCCTGTTTGCCTCGATGATCAAATGTCAATTTCTAAGAAAACAAAAGCAAGAAGCACTATGAATTGTCTAATTAAATGTTTGGTTCGTTTTGAAATTATATTAACCATTAACTAACTATTAATCAAACGTTATATGATGAATGAATAACTATAGAAATCAGAAATTTATTTTTTTCCTAAATATAAAAATTCATCTGATCAAATGTTGAACATTTGCTAATATTTTTATATTTTTTATCGAGTTTTCTTTTAAATAATTTACTTCAAATTTAATATGCATGAACAAATATTTCAATTCTGGTACGCTTGAAACTCTACTGCATGCTGAAGTTCGCGACAAGCAATGAATTGAGAGGAGTGAATTTCATTCAGTCCACTGGATCATGTTCATGTCTTTCCAAAGAAAATACTCGCTACAATGTTACTGCTGTTGATCTAACGGCTGCTGGTGCTGGTTGCAGGAGTTTCGTTTACCATGGAGAGTTTAGCAATTTTTTTTAATTATTCCATTGTAGGAAGGATTTGTAATGTATTGGATTGTTTCACTACAGATTGTCCAGCCAACTTTGACTACGTGGTAGAGTACCACAAGTGCTACAAGATGCAGTACACACTTCAGAGCTGGAGTGCTGGGAGGTCATTATGTAACAGCATCTCGTCATCTCATCCCATAACCATTGATGATCTCCTGGAAAACACCATTTCCATTCAATACGTCAACTTCACTTGTTGGTTTTTTGGTTTGCTCTTTTGCTTTATTAAAAAGGTGTGTAAACATTTACTTCAACTCATTCGCATTATATGCAGATATTGGGCAATGTCCGGCCGGCATAGGTAACTCTTTAGGATTTTTTACAAGCGGATATCAAACCTTCATGAACGGTGTTAGATCATTTTTCTGGTCACCTTATCCAGGTTGAATTCTTTCTACTCACTAAATTAGTGATATTTAACTTGTGTTTCAAAATTTTATTTTCTCTCGTCAATTTTATTTCGTGCTTTTGATGACTTCCGATCCAAATTTCACCAATCTTAAAATTGTTCCATACATTTAAATATTAAATATTACACATGTATTCGCGAACAAGGAGTTTCCAAGCTTGTGCAGATAGAGGCGTCAGTCTGGTATCCAGGAGAACCAAACTCTAGAACCGACGGTAGCGACTACTGCATACAAAGCGTCTTCTATGATTATCCTGGTTGGGATGATTCACTTTGCAGCTCTTCTTGGTGCGTCCTCTGTGAGTATGATATGAGCACCTAAAAGTTACGGTACTGGATCAAATTTAATAAAATCTGAATGGTTAAACGTTAATATTTGTTTGAAAAGTGATTAGGTTAAAAAAGTTGATATGAAATATTTAAACTTGGAAATATGAATTATGAACATTTGTTGTGATACATATCGAGAAACAGGATTTTTAACTGGTAATGAAGTTGAATTCATTTAAATTTCTGAAAGAAACCTTAATAGTAGTAGATTCAACGATGAAGTAGCAGTCTGAGTATCTTTAGCGGTGTCAATTTGACAGGACGACAATTAACTTTGATGGTTGAGATAAAAGAAACATTAAATTGTGACGTGTTACTAAACATTTAATTGAACTTTGACCATACTTTGATGAAGCAATCAATAACAACTTTTTGAAATTCAAACAAACATGTTAGCAAGTTAGAAATACATGTTATCACGTAGTCAAAAGTCTCAATTTAACGACAATGAAAGGAATACAATTAAATAATCTTCGTTTTTTAAATAATGTATTTCAATGCAATGGTCAACCAACATCCATTCGTATCATCTAGATAACAATTATGGAAGACTGGAGGCAATAAAAAGCAAAACGAATAAAATTAGTTAATTAATTTAGAAACATTACAACATTAGTGAACAGTATAACAGGGTGAAGGACAGTACCGACATGACTTCATAATGTGGTAGAGATTGTTAAAGCTAATGATAATAATCAACTCCAGATGAGTAATCCCAATCCCATTTGTTTGCGGGTACAAATTGGTTTTGCTGGTTTTTAGTGTAGCAAGTGATGTAGAGGCCGTACCACTTGGAATAATCTGCTCCACAGTGTTCACCTGTACTGCACGTCAGGTTGCCTGTAAACTGAAATAGATGGGAATGAATTTCAATTTTTGGAAATAATTCAAAAAAATTTTGACTGTTTGACTGAATTTTTAAGAGTTTTCTTCGTTCATTTCATATGTTCCCTCATTTTATCTTTTGTTTTTTTCCAGCCAGTTGTTTCAATCTCTGCGTGCATTTGTCAGAGTTTGATTTAGATAGAAAATTTTAAATTATTATTTAGGATTAAAACAAAAAAATTGCAAAATGTTTTTCGAATAGTTCAACTAATAAAAATAAATAAAATATAGAAACAATTTTTAGGAATAATAGTCATAAGCCAATAATGATAAACAAATCGGACAAAAAATTAAGAAAAATATTGAAAAAATTTGTACCAACTTTACATTTACAATCAGAACATGATTGTTGCCAGCGTTTGCAGCCAGGCTCGCATGGCTTATCTTCTCTATATCCGGCAAGCGCTATGAAGTAAATCAAAACAATTCGATATTGCATTTATAATCATTCTCACGCTGATTACATATAATTATTGGCTTTTAAATCATGCATTCCATTATTACTTACCAATGGAACAAGTAGAGAAAAGTTGATTTTTAATAATACAAAATCCTTAGTTTTATTCTTGTTTTCAAGTTATTACAACTCTACCCATTGAAGAACAACCAACTTTCTAAGAAGCAAAAATAATCTACTCTTCCAGGATGTATTCAATTATGTTTAAATACTGCAAGCTTGGTTCACATTATTCAAGAATTAGACAGGATTAATATATCAGTAGTGGTGATGGATTCCAGTTTGACAAAGACCTCGGTTTTCTTTCGCGGTGACATGCTTCAAATGCAAAGGAAATTCACAGAAAAACGTGCCGTGGCAATTTTGCCCGTTTTTGTGTTCCATTCAGTTGAGTGCTTGTCGAATCTTACAATGCAGCGTTTTGTGATAAAAAATAAAGTTACTTAATAGAGAAAAATTAATAATACAGCATTTTATAAGATGTCAGTCGCACAGCTTTTTAAGTTTTCTGGTTTTTTTTAAGGATCCTAAGCCTAAAAGATTTTATACTTGGTAGACCTGGCGCCTAGTCGTTCCAAACCTGTGCAGCTGCATGACGAGAACCGCTGCTCGAAAAGTTGGTTAAGCCGTGGGAATGTTAAAAAAATGCGACCTAGAAGAAGGGTGATTTTTAAAAGTTATCACAATTACTCAGATTATTTACATTATTTTGTGGGGCATTAATGTTTAGCAACTTAACCAAAACCTGCAGTGACAAATCAGTTAAATGCGACAACGCCATTGCTGATAACCTGTTGGCAGGCAATAACGTCAAGTGAAACAGATCGTAAAATTACCGAAATTGTAAAAACCATTTGAAACTTCATTCATATAAAATTTGTGAGTATTTTTACAGACGTGAAATCGAGATAACAACTAATAATTAGAAACTGCATAAACCGCTTACTGAGAATTTACGACCAAGAAACATCTGACGAGAGAAGCTTAATTATTGACGATTGGTTTTATTCCGTGATTTACCTGTCGATTAGTTGTTGTGCTGTATTCTAACGATTTTAACGATTGAATAAACGAGTGATTGATCAAAGAAATACACACAAGTGATTGCCAGCACTGTTTTCTTTCTAATAAAGTTCATTTGAAATAAGTCTGTTCAGGAGTTAAGAATCCACGTAGAGAGAAATAACCCTGACCCCACAAGTTCAAGGGGTCGGTTATAACAGTATTCTCAACTAGGAATAAATTTTGGTGTAAAATTTTTCAAAAATAAATAAAAAATAAAATAATAATAATATTTATAAAAAATGAAATTATTTTTACCATAATTCCACCTTCCAGTGTTAACGTAGCCGTTTTTAGTGGCAGTGTAGCACGACCAATAAACGTATTCTGGCCATGGCTTTGGCCATGAGCTTTCAAGAGTGCAAAATTCACCTTGGCGGCATCTCAGATCTGTGCGCTGCATCATTTTTTCAAATTAATATATATATAAATATAAATATTATATTTATATATACATATAAAAAAAAGACATCCGATAATAAATGTTATATTCAGCAACTGGCAATTGGAATACCTCCTACTAATAAATTTAGGAACAGAGGAATCATCGATAATGAAAACAAGTATAAGTTTTATATTAAACGAAGTTGAAGATTGAAAATTAATTAAATGAGCGTTAAGTATTGAATAAACAAGAAATCAACAAAGTAGAGTAGACAGACACACACACACACACACACACACACACACACACACACACACACACACACACACACAAACATATATACACAAACATATATATATATATATATATATATATATATATATATAATATAAATTTTGCTGTTTTGGCTCCTAGGATATGAAACAATCTCCCAAGCCATTTATGGGATCCTAGTCTGAATTTGTTGACATTTAGAAGACTGTTAAAGACTTATTTGTTTTCATCCTAACATTGTTTTTGTTTTTGCACTTTGAGAGCGCTTTTGATAATTTTTACATTTTAATTGGCGCTACATAAGTTGTAATAATAATAATAATAATATATATATTTATCTGGGCACATACACAACGTATCGATTCGAACAACGAAAATGGTATAGGAATACCGAAAAAAGCTTTTTTGTTCTATCATGCATAAAAAAAACAAATTTTAGCTCAAAATACTTGAAAATGATTTACGATCAACCGTTAGAAAAATCGAAAGGTTAAATAGGATGTTAACTTACGCCGAACACGCTGTGATTTTCACCAATAATTGTATTTCTGACAGTCTTAACCGCCTTTTTTAAGAAGACCAAATCTATCTTTGATTTTTTTATAAAAAGGAGCGGACACGCGTCTTTTTGCAGAATTAACAATGTTTTTTGTTTGTTTGGTTAATGTTTTTGTTCATTCATTTTTAGGGAATGCTTTTGAGATCTTTTTGTAATTGGCGCTGTACAAATTGACTTGTATTAATTTTAATTATATATATATATATAATTCATTCATTCATTCGTTCATTCATTTATTCATTCATTCATCCATCCATCCAATCCATCTATCCATCCATCCATCCATCCATCCATCCATTCATTCATTCAGGATATAAGTCAAGCAATAATAAATTACTGACTGCATCACACTTGCAAGGATTGCAGCGAAATATCTCGTGTGGACAGCTTGGTGAGCAAGGTGATGGTCTTCTGTAAACTACTGTACGTGTTTTTTTAAGAAATTTACAAATATAATTTTTTAAATATATAAAATAATAAATAAAATATAATAAATATAATGAAATTAAATTTTTTCTCGACAAAAAACTTAAAAAAATAGGATTGCAATTACTATAATTAGACAGAAAATATATCAAAGATTAATAACAAACAAAGCCATACTTATCAACCAACTAAACAATAATGAACAAATAAAATAAACAAATCATTGATAAAATTTCAAAAACTAAACAAAAAATGAAAAAAGTTTATTGAGGAAAATTTTTTTATTAAAAATATCTAACACTTAGCATCTAGAGGAACCACACTAATCAGCACAAGGATGGCGACGAGATGGTTCATCGTTAAGATGAAGATTTCAATCTTCTTAATATTTTAAAAATTTATTTCAAGAATAGTATTTAAACATAGAATATTTGTAATAAAACAAGAGTGTGTGAAAAATTGCCAAGTGAGAAACAAAGTCTTTATCGTATATAAAGAAAAAAATAGACACACACACACTAACTAGAACAAACAGAATCACTCACATTTATCATAAACACCATACGTCAATTAAACTAAATCAGGCGATAATTATTGTTGCTATAGATAATAGTGGTGACGGAAATATCCATATAAATAGAATAAATATAACGGCCTTTGCTCATTTTAGACGGTCGAACAAGGAGCTTACTTCCGGAGGGGAATTGGAGGGTGATTTTTTATCGCCCAAGTCTAAAATTACGATCGTATATTTACTAACTTCGGAACATTGCTTTTATTTGAAACGTTTTAAAAGGTGATACTGGATGCTGTTTTAGGATAGATATTGCTGTATGAAGGTTTTTGCGTTTTAAATAAAAAAAATTTTTTGTGAACACTCTAACACTCGACTTGTTAACCGTTAACGATTCATTAACCAGTAAATGATTAACTGTAACGTAACAACACTAACGACGACTAATTAGTAATTAAATTACTAAACTCTAATAATTAAGCTAAAACTAAACTCTACTAATTCAAATTACTAATTAAAACAAATAACAGATAGAACTAACGAACATTAACAGATTAGCATTTGACTAGAACTAGACTAGAGACTACCAACCACTACTAACTACACTAACAGCACTTGTCCCTAAAATCCTAAATCCTATTGCTTGATTGATTGTAAAATTTTTATTTACAATGCTTAGGCCTGGGAATTAAAACATACTAAATTAAAATTTAAATAAATATATTAAACAACTTATTAATCAATTTTATAAAACAAACAATTTTGTTCAATTTAAGCTCCTCAAGCTAATGTTGCAATTTAATTTATTAATTATGAGTCATTCAAACTAAATTTTTTTTCATTTAATGTTTAACAAAATATTCCTCATTCTTTAATTATATTACATATTGTTATTAAACTTATTAAAGATAATGTGTGATTCCAGTAATTCATCAATCCATGACTTGTTAGATCATGATCATTCAGTTTTAAAGAATCCCCATCACCATAACCAATGAAAACTAAATCAAATTAGTCCAATTTTAAATAATGCAACAGGTAGGCATGTTTGTATAGCTACGAAAATGAAAATTTACTTGAAAACTAAATTATTGTATCCGACACGAGAATTAGTACATATACATAAACGGAAAAATAAATGACGATATAAAAATTTAAACACTGATTGAAAGTGTTCAGTCAGTCAGAAAAATTAACAGGACAAGAACGAAAAGTAAAAAAGCTTCGAATAACACCATAAACAACAGTTTTTCAGTCATTACAATTTGTAACAAAATTTTAAATTTTTTTAATTGTTATTTAATGTAATAATTAATTATTTTTATTTGGTATAAATTTAAAAAAATAAAATCGACATTACCGAAAATAATTAAAAGTTGAAAAAATTGAGGTTCTTTGCCTTTCCCAGCTTCAACCCATAAGAAAGTGTTGTATGTTGGTAAATAGGCCTCCCCTTGCAAATAACCATTTACCTTTATTAACATAACTTTTTATGCGAGTAAAGTGTGCGTGTGTATGAGCGTGTGTGTTTTGTGTGTGTGTTGGTTGTGCAGTTACTAATGACTTTATAAATAGCAATATTATTTATTCCTTCATAATTACTTCGTAGCTATAGAATTATCAAGAATTACAAATAGGACTATGCTGCTCACTAAACTACGGTAGAAAAAATTAATAACTGTCGTAGCTGTATTGTCTATTTACGGATTAATATTGAAAAATTATACTGCATAATGAAATAATAAATTCATGAATGTGTTTGCTCTTGTTTGTGCGTGTGATTTTTTAAAATTATTATTAAAAATAATAATACCGCGTAATATCGTAATTGTGGTGTTTATTGTTAAAGATGAAATATGCATAAACATACACACATTCTTGAATATGTGTATGTTTGTGTTTGTTTGTTTGTGTGTGTGAGTGTGTGTGTGTTGTGTGTTTCATAGCCTACTACATGTGCTGCAAAAAGCAATACACACTCCATGATGGGAGGTCATTATGTAACAGCATCTCGTCATCTCATCCCATTAGCATTGATGATCTCCTGGAAAATACCATCTCTCTTCAAAACGTTAACTTCACTTGGTGGCTCTTCGGACAATTTAACTTTTTAATTTTTTCTTTTTAACTTTCTCATTAATTCTAGAATAAAGCCGTTCACAAGTTGTTTAAAAGTAAATTGTTTTACCAATCCACATTTAGATGCAGCATGTTGCCCTGTTTAAAATCATTTCCGGTTCTACATATTAATTTACTTCTATTTTTAAAAACTTTTAGGCAAAAATCAACACTAATTTGAGAGGATTGAATTACATAGAGTCTAATGAACAGCGTTCATGTGTTCCTTCCAAGGCAAACATCTGTTACAATGTTACTGCTGTCAGTCTGATGGTTTGTATGTGTGGGAAAAAATTCAAATTAAAAATATTATTATTTGTGTTGTTGTGCCTATCATTTGTATTGTATTGTAGTACTAGCGATATATATATTAGTAGTCTTTGTAACGTTTTAAATGTCTTTTAATGTTCAATTTTCCACAGAGTAAATATTTTGATATATAATTGTTGATGAAATCTTGCCACTGTGCAGACTGTCTAGCAAATTTTGATTACAGGATGCAGTACTAGCTTCAGAGCCTATATGCTGGGAGGTCCACATGCAACGATATTTCACATTCCAATCAAATCACCATTGACGATGATATAGAAAATTGTTTCTCTGCAATACGCCAACTACACCACTCCAAATTTGTTCATTCTGGTATTTTTTGGTTTTCAACTTTTAGTTTGTAGCGTTATAAAGAAGGGTTATCTCCGCTTTATCAACAGATTTGTCATAGTGCATTGTGGACTAAAGTAACAGACTCTTTGGGTACATATAACACCAAAATTTTGTTATAAAGTAAAAATTGTTGTCACAAACTCAAGTTTTGTAGGCGTTGTTTGCTTCGCATCACGTATATTTGTGTATTAATATTTATTTAATAATAAACTATTTATTAAAAAGTCTAACTAATGTCGAATGTGTACTAAAATGCAATATCGTCAAACAAACATCATTTATTAGCAATATTAATGTTGCTAATTGTGCATTATTTTGAAATGTTATGTAACCTTCTTCTGGAGTACAAAATGCAACGCCAAAGAAAATATATAACGTTGAAACTTTTTTTCATAATTTTGTGTTTGAAAATATAACGGCATCTCAACGTCTTAGAGCAAGCATGACTGCTCTAGTTTTTTTAATATCAAAGTACTAGCCATAGAGAGGGCACTCTGCACTCCGAGTTGCAGTTGAGGGTTATCAAGAATAGATAACAAATGAAGTGAATTTTCTATAGAATAATTTCTTTTTATAATTTTTATAATTAAAAGTTTATTTTTTATTATAAACATATATACTGACCACAGTTAGATGATGAAACGTACCAAGTAAGGCAAAAAATGTCAGCTTCAAAGGTGTTGCATGGCATTTCGAAACATTTATTAGAAGCATTTTGTTCACATAAGAAAAGTTGAAAAAAAATGATAGCAAACGAATAATTTTCAAATTTCGAGCCGAAAACACTTGTGCTCTTCTTATTTGTATGCCTCCATGCACCTGCATGCGTGTTTGAATGAAATCAGTGCTTAAGTTATTAAGGAGTACTTTGTTGAATGTAGAAATGTGCAATAAAAGTGCACAATAAAAAACAACAATGAATCACAACAATTTATATTTAACTTACCTAGTTTAAACACAACGATTTAGAATGAAAATTTTAGGTCTGAACAAATTTTTTTAAGTGACAATCTGATGGATAACTTTGAAACAAAAAGCGTACATCGGCTGCTTTTGTGGTGACTATGTTCATAATTTTTTATATATAAAGTTATTTAATTTATATGTTTTTAATGGCATAAACACAAACGAAACAGATATAGAACGTACTTGAATGTCTTGTATCCATTGTAAGATTTTCTATGGTAGTTGCATCGCTGGTGCTCGGGACAGTGGCAGACTTGGTAGTTGCCTATCTTGCATACTGTCAGCTCTTCAACCTCAGACGGCTGCCACCAGTAATCAGTTCCAACAAATAACATCATCAAACCAACAAGATGAAAAATACAAATACATTTTTTGAATGGGAAATTACTTAATAAAATCTGGTTTTATAGACCAGCAAATAAGTAAGGAGAAAGCTTTTAAAAATGTAGCAAAAAATAAAATTTTTAAATATGCAAAGAGACGACTCAAACTTTGCATTCTTCTAGACGGCTGGCTGGCTTCTTCATCTGGTGCTGGTAACTTCTCCCGCTGCAACTCATCATTTGGATGCACAAAAGAAATAGCAACACAGGAATCAAACAAAACTTCATGGAGTTGATGTTCAACATTTTGAATATTTTTCTATCACCTTTATTGAATTACATACAGAACAATTAAATTGTATTAGGCTGGGTTTGCTTGTCAGATCAAAAATAAAAATAAAATGCAGTGAATGTGAAAAAATGAACGCAGCTGTGAAATGTGCCACATTAAATGTAGCTAAAACAGTAAACAACATTCCCAACACGACAATTATTATAAATACAATGCATATCGACATTATGATTGTTTCCAAGCAACCCTGCAACTACTACTACACACGTGTTAGCTCATACTAATCCGCAGTCGTAACAGAGAGGGAGACGGAGAGAGAGAGAGAGAAAGAGAGAGAGAGGAGAGAGAGAGAGAGAGAGAGAGAGAGAATAAAAATTTTTTTTTAAAACAAACATATTAACATATTTTTGTTCTCTAATGACAAATTACATTTAAAGCAATTCACTTCAGCTCTGACTTTTTTACAAGTTTGCAAATCACATGGCATTCAACTCAGGTGTAATCTTTATGTTGTGTGACGTGTGTAGTGTACTGCGCGCGTGTGTGTGTGTGTGTTATGTTTGTGATAGTATATATGTGTGTGTGTGTGAGTATGTGATGTTTGTGTGTGTGTGTGTGAATGTGATGTGTGTATGTGATGTTTGTGTGTGTGTGTGTGTGTGTGTGTGTGTGTGTGTGTGTGTGTGTGTGTGTGTGTGTGTGTGGGTCTATTAGATTCAATGAACATTCCTTAATTTTGCGCACTAACTTACTAAGCAACACGATAAAACTAACAAAATGCAACTTATGCTTATAGATTTTTCATTTATAAATTCATTCATTTAATATTTGTTAGAGATTTTTCAATTATAAAAAATAATTTAGTTGACTGAACGCAAATAGGTACCTTGCAAGAGCTTATAAAATAATTTGTACTGTTAATAATTTAATAATTTGTACAGTTGTGATAGACGATAACAAAAGCATATTGTTCAAAAGTGGATGCTGATGAATAATAGCAGGAAAGTTAGAACTGCAGCTAAGTGTGATGATGTTTCTAGTGTGCAATCAAATTCAAATCGGTTTGTTTGCATGCAGCGGTCCTGAACAACAACAATTACTCTTCCTAACATCAATGATGATCATAGAACATGACAGCATGGATCATAAATGTAATTTTTAAAAATAGATGGATTGTTAATGAGAACAATGTAATAGCTAATAAAATATTTCCTTCAGTCTATTTTGAACGTTATAAATTAAAAAATGTTTTTTTTATGTGATACTTTTAATAATGATGGTGAAAAATGAAACAAATGAAACAATCGATGATGATTATGTTTTATTATTGATAATATTTTGTGTTCGGTGTTAAAAACTAATTTTGTTTATTTTCTCTTAAATAATAATATAAGTATATGATCTCAATTAATTATATGTACGAAAATAATTTTCATAATTTGATTAATTCGAAGGCATGATAACTTCTTTAGATAACATCTTTCTTGCTTTAGAAAATGTTTTATTAATACTTTTGATCTAAATTTATATATGTAAATAATTATGTTATTTAATTCTCTGGATTTTTTGAAGTGCATTCATCCGAAAATCACAAGCCTACATAAAATGTGCATATGCCTACATGCACAAAAAGAATATGAAAAAATTTCTACGCGTTCGCAGTTGGTCTACAAATGATAAAAAGTGAATTTCAATTTCATGAAAAATTTGTGTTGTTACTAGTTTAGTTTGTTAAATTTAAATGTCAGTTTAATATTTTCCATTGAAATTGCATACAATGCAATATATACTGAAAAACTTTAAAAAAAATTACAATGGGAGACTAGAGTGATGCACAAAGGAGCGGTTTTGAAAACTCATGGTGGAAGAATTTACTAGACAAAAACGACGTTGGATTTTACTACAATTACCTGAAATTTACAAAAAGTACAACTGGTTTATGAAAATATTTTAAAATTAAGAAATTGTCTCGTATTATTGAAGTTGAATTTCAATTCTTAGCGACAAAACTGAAGTTGTAAAAGATGTTGTTAAATGCTAAATAAAACGCGTTGCAAGTTGTATTTGAATTTATTACGTAACTACGTAAGGAATAAGACTTAGTAGCTTAAAAAATGACAGCTACATTCCTAACAAACGATCACAATTTATTACAAGCATCAAAACGTTCTGTTTCGTGGTTTTACAACATGCTAAGTTTTCTAATATTTGTCCGAATGTTTGACACCCAAGTTTTAAATGAGTATCTAAAAATAATCTTAATCAAGAGACGATAGCAATGTGTATATACCGCCAGTTTCGCGTTGATTTGTTGAAAATTCCTCTTATTTAGTTCAGTTCTCTAATAGCTCTTAAAATAATTGTAGCAATTTAGTTTTTCAACGTAGTCAACAATGTCTCATTTGAAAGATAAGTTAAACAAAACATTGGAAAAATGCAAAGACAATATCAAAAGTGCTATGAATCAAAGGCGCAGTTACGACGTCACAAACAGAAAACAATCTGGTCCGAGTGGAAGCCATTCAAGATTTTGGAAGAGAGGTGAGGAAATATCACTACCAGAATTAACTTCCGAAAAAAGAAACCAACCACCGAACGAAACAAATCAAAGAATGTTCTCGTCCAATACTGAGATGGAAAGATGCGGCCTAGCAAGTCACAGATATTTTCAAGATTTTACAGAGAGGACGCAACATTCTTTAAATAATGAAAATTCGAGCAACAGAAAAAAATCTAGAAAGTTTAAAAAACATGAATTTGTAAATAAAAAAAAAATAAACTTTCTTTGTGGCACGGGTGCAAAGATAAAAGGAATAAATTAAATAATCGTAGATACAGTTTTGATTTTGCTCACAGTGGGCTGCCTGATCCCAATCAATCAAACTCTTGGAAAAAAATTGATGGATCGCCTTTGTCTTATTTGAACGAAATCCTAATTAGCGAAACTAATCGTGAAACAAAACATCAGGCCGTTACGTTCAGTTTGAATACGTCACAGCTTGAAAACTACACATCAAGAAATGTGGACACCGAAAACACTTCTGTCAATTCTCTTAAGAAAACGATTAAAAGACCAAGAGTATCACAGATGTCAAACAGTATATTAGGATTTAAAAAAATGATTGTGGTGTTTAATAAGAACACAACAGCAGAAGAAAACACTTTTGTGAATTTGAACAAGTCACGTTGTTCAAGAAGACACTCAGTGAACTTAGTACCGACAATTCTGTCAAATTCGGTTAAGTCCTGTTGTGCACGAAAAAACATGATACTGAGCATGAAACTGTCACTTTATGGCTCCCCTAAAAAATCAAAAAATCTAGAAATTTTGAAAAGTGATGAAATATTAGATGAGATTTGGGTTTTGATTCTCAAAATGAGACAAGAGAAATGATTTGTTTTCAATTTATTTAAATGTTTTGGCAGATTCATAATCTACAAACTTGATCATTTTTCAAATTTTTCACTAGAGTAATTTTTACTTATTATTTTCCCATAAATAATACCTAATTTATATTTTGTTTCACTTTCCTATTTTTAATTGTTCTGTAAATCAAACTCTAACAAAAGCAGACTAAAAAGTATGAAACGAAGGAAATAAAATTATGATTATAGAATGTATATAGTTGCTTGTATAGTAGTAGCAAAATACAATAAAAAAAACATTCATTCCTTCAGGTACAACTTTGAAAAAAAGACATACAAACATACACACACACGCACACACACGTACACAAACAAACACACATATACACACACATACACACAAAGATTTATACCTGTATATATATATATACCTATATTTATTTACCTATGTATATATATATATGGTGTAGTACATCGTTGAATCGACGAATTGGGTCATCGGTGAGTCCTAGAATGAGCGAAAAGTCCTATCCTTGACGAACATTTTCGTGCACAAGCTCCACAAATCCATACACCCGTACTATTGCCATTGAGCCGTCTATTTTCGTCGAGTCCTTTTTTCAGCGAGGGCAGCTGTACGTGCCAGTTCAAAAGCTGAAACCGCCGACTCCATTCGCAGAGCATCAAAAAAAGAGCCTTGGCGACTAGACCACATTTTTTAATATTTTCTTTAAGGCTGTCTTTGTATCTGCGTACGGGCCACTTGCCAGTCTATTTTCCGACGCCAGCTGACCAAAAAAGACCTGCTTGGGAATTTTTGTATCTGGCATACGCATAACGTGCCCTATCCAGCGAAACTGAGTTTGAAGCAGCAGCGATTCTACACTCATTATATCGCACTTTGCCAGAACCACTGCGTTTGAGACCCTCTCTTCCCACCGGATACCTGCAATCATGCGCAAGCATCTCATATGAAACTGGTCGAGCCTACGAATGTGGCGACGGTATAACGTCCAGGTTTCGCAAACATAAAGCAGTGAAGGGAGCACAACTGCTCTTTCCAAAGACGTCCGGTCATCATACAAAGCAGCACCTACTTTTGCAAGCCATCATCGATAGTTGCATTATTGGAGTTGACGTCTAGATAACAAAATCTATCAACAGAATTGAGTCGTCCGCCATCACATGGACCATTGCCCCCAACGAAACTGGGTAGCTTTGATGCAAGACTTCAATTCTCTTCAGACTGACTGTAAGTCCAAATTTTTTAGCTGTTATATAGAAGCGGTTGAACAGCGTCTGAATCTCCAGTGCACAATCATCAGCAAATAAGAGGTCCCGAACAACAGAAATGTGTGTTTTGGACTTGGCTTGCAATCGTCTAATATTAAAAACAACCCATCAGATTGGTATCCCCTCACTACCGTGACAAAAAACAACTCGAAGCATCAATGAAAAGTAGATGGTGAACAGCAATGGAGCCATAACGCATCCTTGCTTGGTTCCGTTTGTAACATCAAAATCCTGTGACCGTTCACCATTTTCAACCACACTTGCTTTCAAACTTTCATGGAAGGAACAAACAACGGCAAAAAAAACAAAGGGGCAACCAATTTTTGACAAGCAGCGCCAGAGTGCTGACCTATCAACCGAATCAAATGCCTTGGTCAGGTCAACAAAAACCATATACAGTCCCCGTTGCTGCTCGCGGCATTTTTCTTGCAGTTGCCTCGCAATGAACACCATATCGGTTGTGCTGCGTCCAGCTCTGAATCCACACTGACCCTCCGGAAAGATATCTAGATTGTTGACATGTTTTGCCAGGTGTTCGGAGCAATCACTCTGGCTAGTATCTTCCCAGTATGGAGAGCAGAGAGATTCCTCTGTGGTTGTCGATATGTACCTACACACACACACACACACACACACACACACACACACACACACACACACACACACACACACACACACACACACACACACACACACACACACACACACACACACATACATACACACACACACATATATATATAGATATATATATACCTATTAAAACATACATATATAATATATACAAGAGATCAAAGCGGATATCCGCAATGCGGTGTCAAAAAAATTCTTAAACTCCGCGGATTTTGCGGTTTGCGGATTTTGTCTGTGCGGTTTGTGCAGATTCAAGCAAAGTTAAAATTTTAATTTTCAAATTTTTCATATTAAAAAAACTTTGTTTTTTCGTTTGTTTGCATATATGTACGTGCTAAGTATGTATGAATATTTAATGACCATAACTGAATCTCTCTGGGGCCTACGTAGATAAAGCCAAGCAAGCAGCTTCTACAAATTATTTCAGCAGACTTGAATTAAGAAAGTTAGTTCAATGTATACACATCCATACACACACGCATGCATACATACATACATGTATCTATAAATGGGTGCATATGTGTGTTATACAAAACGTATGTGTGAAGTGTATTTACTTTGATACTTATACATATAACATAACATCTTAATAAATATTAAATAAATAAATATCTCGTCTGAGTTCCTTTTTTTTTGTTCATTTTGTACTCGTTGTTCTGGCCAATGTTATTTCAATTTTTAAATTAGTAATTTATTTTACGTAAATATGTTGAAGTGCAAAAAGTGGATATAAACAAATTTCAACATGTTTGCAGTTACTGCACGATTGTTCTGCTAATGATGAAAAGTGAATTTCAAATTTCATGAAAAATTTTTGTGAATGCTGATTTTGTTTGTTGAATTTAAACACCAGCATAATAATTTTCATTGAAATTACATACAGTGCAATGCAAACTGGTAAACCTATTGACAAGAATGACACTTGGAGACTGGAGCGGCAAATGGACGGATATGGAAACTCACTGTTAAAATTTAGCAAGACAAAAACCACGTCAGCTTTAACTACAATTAATATCTAAAAGTATAAAAATATCATATTTTCTAGCTGGTTTACAATAATATAATAATATTAACGAGGTGCCTTGTGTTATTGAGAATTAACATATAAATTTAATTTTTAAGGTTTCAGGTTTTAATTCTTAGCGACAAAACTAAAGTTGTTTCAGATATTATAAAATGCTAATCAAAACTCGTAACAATTTTTTACTCGTTGAATAAATTTAAAACGAGCTGGCTCATGTTTAATCGGTTAAATTAATAAATTCATGGTTCATACACAAGTAAACAACATTTTAAAAAATAAATAAATTGTCTACAAATATGCACACGAACGAATTCATGATAAGATAAAAACAAGTTCTGCTTGAATTTATTACGTAACTTGACTAACGAAGAAATAAAATTTAGCAGCTTTAAAAATGACAGCAGTGTTTTCAACAAACGATCACAATTTATTACAAGCATCATAATATTCTTCTACTCAATGGTTTTACAAAATGATGTCAACAAAGTTTCCAAACATTTGTCCGAATGTTTGACACCCAAGTTTTAAATGAGTGTCTAAAAATAATCTCAACCAAGAAACAATGGCAATGTATAAATACCGCCAGTTTCGCGTTCATTTGTTGAAAATTCCTCTTATTTAGTTTAGTTTTCTAATAGCTCTTAAAATAATTGTAGCAATTTAGTTTTTCAATGTAGTCAACAATGTCTCATTTGAAAGATAAGTTAAACAAAACATTGGAAAAATGCAAAGACAATATCAAAAGTGCTATGAATGGAAGGTGCAGTTACGACGTCACAAACAGAAAACAATCTGGTCAGAGTGGAAGCCATTCAAGATTTTGGAAGAGAGGTGAGGAAATATCATCCCTACCAGAATTAACTTACGAAAAAAGAAACCAACCACCGAACGAAACAAATCAAAGAATGCGTATATACTGAGATGGAAAGATGCGGCCTAATAAGTCGCAGGCATTTTCAAGATTCAACAGAGAGGACGCGACATTCTCCAAATAAAGGACATCCGAGCAATTGTAGAAAATCAAATAAGGATAAATACTTGAGTTCGAATACGCCACAGCATAAAAACTATTCATCAAGAAATGTCGATTCTCATAAAAAAAACAATGAAAAGACCAAGAGTATCACAGATGTCAATGTTAGGATATAAAAAAATGAACATGGTGTTTAGTAGCAGCAAAGAAAAACACTTTTGTGAATTTGAACAAGTCACGTTGTTCAAGAAGAGCCTCAGTGAACTTTGTACCGACAATTCTGTCAAATTCTGTTAGGTCCTGTTGTGCACGACGGAACATGATAATGAACATGGAACTGTCACCTAATGACTCCCCTAAAAGATCAAAAAATCTTGAGATTTTGAAAAGTGATGAGATATCAAATGAGATTTGAGTTTGATTCTCAAAAGGAGACGAGATGATTGATCTGTTTTCAATTTATTCAAATGTCTTGGCAGATTCATAATATACAAACTTGCAGGACGAAATTATTTTAATCAATTTTCAATTTTTTCATTATAGTAACTTTAACCTATTATTCTCCCATAAATAATACCTAATTTATATTTTGTTTCACTTTGATATTTTATAATTGTTCTGTAAATCAAACTCTAGCAAACGCAGATTATGTAACAACGTGCGAGGTATGAAATGGTGGAAATAAAATTATGATTATAGAATGTATTTAGCGGCATACAGTAGTAGCGAAATAAGATAAAATATACATTCATTCCTTCAAGTAAAACATAAAAAAAGGATTGCGTTGTACATACAAATTCACACACACACACATACACACAAACAAACACATATACACATGCACACAAAGATATATATCTATATACAAAATTACAAAAACAATTTAAAATAAATGAAATTAATAGTTACGTAACGATAAATAATTCAACGATATGTAATTAATATATGAAAAGAATTTATTATATAAATAAACAAATAAATAATAATTAATTAATTATTTATGGTTTAAACCTTGTCAACTCATTAAAATTTTATTGAAACTTTTCAAACATTAACATTTTATCAACTTAATTCTTCAAAAAATACTCTGCATTATAAATTCAAGAAAATTTTTTACTCACTTAGAAGCCTATTAATGAAATAAAATAAATTTTTTTTTCAAACTATTTAAAGAAGCACTTGAATGTTTTTCAATATTTCATAATGTCAATTTATAATTAAAAATAATCACGCACACGTTTGTATGACGGAGAAATTTAATTAAAAGAGTAGAAAATGAATGATAAAGAAACAAAAGATTTTTCTGTAGGAACATTTTCAACGGCGCTTAGTGAACATTGTGAAATAGCTCCTGAAATATTTAAGATTTAGTAAAGTAACAATATTAATATTAGCTAATAATTTGCTCAAACTGAGAAGTCAATATGCCCATGTTTGAAAATATAAACCATTTAACAGAATATATATAACTAGACAATACTGCCCATGTTATAAACAAAAACAAACCATTTAACAGTAAACTACTAAGAGAAGTTGGACAAGAAATCTATAGCAAAAAGAGTACAGGAAAAAAATCAGATTAATCGAAAAATATGCTCAACTGTGAATGAAAATAATGATAACTACCTTTTCTAAAGCATCGTGTCACTGGCATTCATTTATGTCCATTTCTGCAAATAGCGTCGCTTCTGTAGTTATTTACGCTATGTAAATTAATAACTCACATTTTTCACAAATTACTCTACTCAAAGAAATTATTATTAAAAATTTTTTATGGTTAAAGTTATTCTCTTGAATTTTTATCAAAATATCACTAAAATGTCAACACTTTTTATTGATTTTTGCAATGATAACAAACCACCTAAATCTTGGAAATAGTTTTATGATATAAATAAAATTAAAAATTGAGCTGATATCATAAATAAAAGAGTTAATTTCTTTCAGAAAAAATCATTTCACAAAGTTAATTGTTAAATGATCATTTTGAATCAAGTCTGATGAGAACGAAGCTTTGTTCGCCAAAAAAGATCGTCGGTCAGACATTATGACCAAAAAAACCCACAAATCTTTAAAAATTAAGTAAAAATGCGGCCCTTTAAAGGTAAAATAGTTCTCAATGCGGCCCTCACAGAAAAAGTTTGCCCACTCCTGGTCTATACAAAACCTCCATCTGTAAAATTTTAATAATGTTACGTTATTATTAATCATAATTTTGATTAACTTGTCTAATTTTTTTAAACAAATTTTGAATAAATAACAATACTTAATAAAATTAATTTTTTTAGTCTTTATTATTGCAGCTTTTACATACACAGAACCACTTATAATGTTACATATATATTATCTATATATCTTTATTATGTTCTTCATATCTTCATTCATTGATTTGAAGCAGCCATCCTTTTCACACGATGTACACATGTATTTATGTTGAGCATAATTTGAGTATATGATAGCTATTGAGATGTTTGACTCAGCGAGCATTTGAACCACTGAGCCATCACGCCGGCCAACAGATGAACTTAAAACTTCCAAGTTTGTCTTCTTTTATGTACGTAAGATTTTTCAAGGGAACGAAATTTCAGTTTACGTTTCAGTTTTATGAAAATGACTTATTGAAATATTTTTAAATTATCGTAACATAATAAAATATAATATTGGTACATTTTGTTCCAAAGATGTCCTCGTCACTGTCAGACTGAACTGTCAGTCTGTTTCAAACGACTGAATTTGCATTAAAATTTATTCAAGGCTAAATTATTTGAATCTGCCAAGACATTTAAATAAATTGAAAACAGGTCAGTCATCTCGACTCCTTTTGAGAATAAAACTCAAATCTCATGTTAATATTTTATGGAAGACACTTCCAACTAGTAAATTCTTTTTTTAAAAAGAGAAATTTTTTACTTGAAAAATTTTCAGGCAGATGGGGATAATTTTTTTTTGTAGCTTTGCTACGTTAGTAACATTGCTACTAACGTATCAAAGGTGTCAAAAGCAACAACACACACACACACACACACACACATACACACACACACACACACACACACAACACACATACATCATGATCAATCGTCTGAACGTTATCGCTGGCCTCCCAAATTATTAAAACATCTGAAATATTTAATATTTATTATCACCACGAAACAAACTGTTAACACGCAAATAATTAATTAATGACGTACTATTATAAAAATAAATTATGTTAATATATCACCTCTTTCACACCTAACACACAATAAAAAATGCTATAAAAAAATCACTATAAAGACATAATATTGATTACATAATACCAGACAAAATAATATTCACAAGAGACGCATCCAGTCTAGTTAGCAAAGCGTATTTGTTTGTATCTGTAATTCCTGGCGCAGAATATCCTAACACATTTTTCCCTGAACTGCTTCCTGAAGACGCAGTAGATGATGAAGTTGACCACGGAGTTCGTGCTGATGGCCAGGTTACTCAAATGATAATAGTAGAAGTAAGCATTGCCACATTTGTAGTCTGGGTTGCAATAGTTCAGAATCTGTGTGAAAGTTATATGTTATTTACACATTTGCAATTTCATAGAATAATAATGTCGAAATTTTTTTAAATACAATTCGTTTAAATACAATAATGTCAAAATTTTTTTAAATACAATTCGTTAAAAGGTTAATTCAACATTTTTTAACTCCTCCGAAAAGCATTTTAAAAACTGTTTAAACTATTTGGAACTGTTTAAACTATTTTAATACATAGCAAACAATACAAAAAAAAGTACGCTGTTGATGTAGCCAGGAGTCTGGCAGAGGATGAAGACGACGACGATGCCGACCATGACCTTCGTGATGTTCTGATCGCCATCGTTCATTTCAAAGTTCTGTCCTGGCGGGGGAGCGTATGTTTGAGATCTCTTTACTTTGTTGTCGCTTGTTGCTGCTGCTGCTGTTGTTATTTGCGGCGTGTTTGTTGTCGTCTGTAAAGTAGTTGATGTCGTTTGTGGGGTGGTTGTTGAAGTAGTTGGCTCTGCTGTCTGTGGTGATGCCCTTTCTGATGTTGTGTGCTTATCTGCTGGTTGCGATGAACAAAACGGCGAGTCTGAATTCAAATTCTCTGGTGTAAAATGTTGGCTTGTACTTTTTGAGTCAAATGACGTTTTTACATCATTTTTCTCAAGTGGCAAATTTGGAGTGGATGACGAAAAAGAAATTTTTTCATCTCTAAACTGAGTCAGCACATCCGTAGTTGGAATGTTTGCTATCAAATTCGATGCACATTCATTAGGTCCATCATCGACGGTGACGCATTTTTTATGTTTCGATGTGTTATTCATTTCAAATGAAGCTATCGGTTTGATTGGAAGACTAGTGATTGGTTTATTTTCCTTGACTGGTGTTAGATCAATTTTTTTCTCTTCATTAGAAACGCTGACAAACGTGCTCGCGCAGATGCTTATTCCATTTAAATCATCAGAGCTACGATCGCCAGCCGGTAAGTTCATGTTCAAGTTATTGAAATGTGCTTGTGGAACATTGTGCTTCCATTTGTCATTACTTCCATTCGTAGTTGTCGGGTTGATTTGTTCGTTCTTGTCGGTCGGACAACTGTCCTCTTCCCTATCTCGGCAGCTTGTTAGCAATGTTTTAGAAGTATCAGCGTGTTTTTCCTTTTTTTGATTTTTAGCACCAGCCTGTTTGCACTTGCGTTTTTTGCTTATTTTAAGTTGTTTCAAGCGTTTATTTGATTTTATGAGTTCTTTAATAAGTTGAGATTTGAAAAAAATTAAAAGAAGCAGAGGTCCCAAATAAACAAAGAGGCAATAGAGAAGAGTTTCGTAAATGGTTCCGTACCAGAATGTGTTTTTCTTCATGGCACTGAACTCAGTGGTTACTACAAACGTTTCAACGACAGAGACACTGGCATTCAATGTTTGATTACTACGTAAATAATCTTCAATCAGCGTAACATTTTCACGTTGATAAACAATCTCGGACTCAAAAAATTTTGGCAGGCAGTAGATCATGACCAAGATGGCCATGACTGTGATTTGAATTTTCACATTTCTGTTTGTGTTCCACCTGGCCTCATGGAAAGGCCAGCAGATAGCGATGTACCTGTTGAAACTGATGAGCACCGTGATCCAGACGGTCGCCATCTGTGTTGCGTGCACGAATGGAAACACGAAGACCCTGTTGTAAGACATCATCGCATGATCCTCCCGTCCGAAGTAATAGACCAGCGACGTGAAGACTTGAGCGTATGAGGTCAGAAGCAGAAATAACGTGTCGTTCATGGCCAATGATTGGAGCAGGAAACAAGCCACGTGACTTTTTTTATCCATCCGTAGAACGTAGAAGGAGATGAGGTTGCCAATTAACCCTATGAACGTCAGCCCTCCGAATATGAAGACGTAGACGACCAAGAGGAAGAAGCGACACTCGCGATCGGGCGACGTCTCCGTCTGTAGGAAGTAATCGTCGGTGTAGGTGGGTGGGGTGTCGTTCGCCATCGTTGACGTCATCGTTGATGTCGTTGTTGGTTTTCTGTTAATTGAAAATATTAAAATTAAAATAATTTATAAAATTAATTAATTAATCTTAAATTAAATATTCATTAATTGAAAAGATTACGACGAACGTTATTTATGAATTATGACCTCAGAAGTAAGTTGAGCACGATACATTTATTTTTTGATTAAGGTCGATTACAACATCATTATTTTGAAAAAAAAAGTATAGATAAATTCGATTGGTTCAGATAAAAATAATAAATACAGTTTCAAATTGTGTTAGGAATGAACAAATTTGAAACATTATTATCGGTAATTATAAAGTGAATGCGCCAATGAATAGCTTATTCACCGTTGAACTTTATTGTCAAAACGGTAGAGCAAGAAGACGTAGATAAGATAGCAAAATTTAACAAAGCAAACATGTTGCAAAGTTTGTCAGAATGAATAGAAGATTACGTTAAGATGAAATAACATTATAATGATACAGAATTTTTAAAAATTTCAACATGCAACAACAAACTATACAAATTTGACAATAAATATTTAAAAAATGGATAATAGTTTTGATGAAATCAATCGTCATTTCTATATTAAAGTGATGGGTTTCCTAAAAGGTATTTCTTCGGTTTAAATAGTTGAGGGTATGATTAGGCCTACTACAGCCGTTGTACAAAAATGTTGACTTGTTTGCATATGTTTGGGGTTTACGGTTCTGTAAATTACACGAGTTGAATGTTAAACAAGCTCGATATTTTTGTAACTTGCGAAGTATATTAAATAATCTCATGCACGTTTAATCTCTAGTTTGGACTTGACCTTCTATTAAAATCATTTATGTAGATGAAGTATTTAACAAACACCGTTTGAGAGCGATTTCATTTTTTTTCGCATAATTTAACATATCTTTTTCATCAACAACAACAATAAAAACAACAACATTTACCAAAACAACAACAACAACAGCAATATTAATAACGATAACTCCTTGCTGTCGAATCGTAATGAAGGAATTTAATGGCGGTGAATGTAAACCTTCGCCAAGTTCTTATTAAATTTATCCACCATCATCATCACTGTCTTTGGATTGATTTCAGTTTAATTGTGAGTTTTATTCTGTTCTATTAGTTTATTTCTCTCTCTCTCTCTCTCCTTCTCTCTCTCTCTCTCTCTCTCTCTCTCTTTCTCTCTATCTCTATCTTTCTCTCTCTTTCTAATGAAAGCATTTTTCCATTTATTATTTTGAGCGTTTTTTTTAGAAATGCAAAGTAATAATTAAAATTAAGTAAATTGTAAATTCTCCTAACAGCCAAAATTTAAATAAACATTTTATAAAACACGATAAAACACAGTATAATAAATAGAAAAATTAAATAAAATCTACAATGCTCGCCATACATTTTGAATGGGCACAAAGAGAAATAGAGTCAGCATTAAATTATGTTCAAATCGTGTTCCCATCACAGTAATAATAGTAAAAATAACTATAATAATAATATTTTACGAATATATTTAACGACATTACGCAGCAAAGGACGATACCGTTCAACAATGTTTGTAATGTTTCAGGAAGTAAATGCAAAATCAACATCTTTCCATCCTTGCCTTTCCGGGCCAGTTTCATTGAAATGTCGTTTTCAATCCCAAATCAGATTTCAAACTAATCAAATATTGCTTATCGAAATCGGGGTTGGTGTTTTCAGTTTATTTTTTTTAAATTTTAAAGATTTAATTTTCGGAGATGATTAAACTGATGAATAATTTTATTCGTTCGAATTATGAATTTCAGTGATAAATTACTATGAAAGAGTTGAGACAGCAATAGAAACCAAAAAAGCGGGCAGAAACATTTTTGAAGTCTAATTGTTTGTATACTTCTGTTCTTTCTTAATTGGATTTTTTAAAAACTCAATTTGTATTATACTCTACCTTAACATATCATAATATCATAACTTTTAATATGATATTATATACGATGACACACAAAATATTCTATTCAGTTAATTTATTGATTATTCAAAGGGGGTGTCAGGGTCGATTGGCTAACGAGTCGTTTCAACTATGAAAAATTTCACGGACCGTATAAATGTTGTTTTTTGGAAATAATTTTTTGACAATTGCAAACACAAATACATAATCCAAAGCATTGATTTGTCATTCAAATCAAATAATTGGACGTATAGAAAATTATTTGATAATAACAACTTGAAAAGGCTTTTTTGCCCAATTTAATATTTTATGTCTGGAATGAAATTTTGAGTAGAGATTAAGTGTTCATCATGTTAACCAAGTTCAATGAAGGCTCCTAATCAGCTTCAGGCGCGAAAGCAATTGTTCAAACGAATAGGCGCTTCCAAAGTAACATCATTTTCACAGCAATTTTTTTATTTGGATTCTCTAGGCAACTATTTTAAGAGTTCAAAATTTTATGAATTATTTTACAGATTTAGGTTTTTTTGCCAATAAACAAGCTCCAGTTGTATGAATGTCGGGGCTGAGAAATTAGGAAAAAATTTATTTCAACTCCTAAAAATTGCTAGAAAATTTGTTAAATTTATTTTTCAAGTCATTATTGTTTATTGCATGTTTGAGTATAAAATTTTTATTTTATGGCTGGAACAGCTGACACGTACATACAATTGTATAAAGATGAGTTAATATATATATATATATATATATATATATATATATATATATATATATATATAAATTTAAAATATACAGTATATTTAAAAATATACAGATTTATATCTCGCAATGGGATAAAATAAAAATAATTTTATAACGATAAAAAATTTTCGCCGCAGGTTAAGAAAATTTTATGTTTTTTTATACAATCACGATGCACAACAATACTATAACAAATTTTAAAATCGAAAACCTCGTTAATCTCTACGATGTGAGCATTCAGTGCTGTGAAGTAGCGTGACATAACAAATTCAATTGCACCACACAACTTACTCGTTCATTCAAGCAGATAACTAATCAAAGCTCTTAAAATGAAAGACATTAAAACCATTTAAATCAAAGCAACTTAGGTGATAAACCTGGGAAGCATTCAGAGGAGCATTTATGAAGAAGGGATAAATTAAGAGGTTGATAAGAAGAGGTCATCTTGAAACGTCATGCGTAGTCACGTGCTTGTGTGTGGGGATTATTTAGTCCAGCGCACTAAACGACTACAACAAGCAAGGTGTCACTCAATGATTGTCTCCGCACTGCTTACAAAATGTGTGCATATATTTGAAGGTAGGCAAGTTTTGTGGGATTGTGTGATTCAGTTTGTGTGTGTGTTTTTTTTAAAAGTATGTGTGTCTATCGGTTATTTCTGTTTGAAAGCTTGCACTCTGTGGCAGTATTCGTGTGTGTTTGTATGTTTGTATAGTGCGCAATGGAGGTTATCATGGTTCATGGTGGAAAGTTATTTGGGAATGTTTATGTCGTACAGGCATGTACATTTTTTGTACGAGTATGTGTTTGTACATGTTTGTATGGGTGTACGAGTGAGAAAGTATGTGTATATATGTGAGTATGAATGTGTACAATATATTTACACGTGTGTGAATGTTTGTACAAACATGTTTGTAATGTTGTATTTGTGAGTTAATTGTTTTAACCTGCATTTGTTTTTAATGTTGGTGATTTTCTGTGTAATGGTTGTTTTTGTTAGTGAGAATAAAGAGTTGTGTAGGCATGCATATATGTGTTTTTATGTGTATGTATATGCGAGCTCGTGTGTGTGTGTGTGTGTGTGTGTTATATATGTAAATGTGTCGTGTATGTGCGAGTGTACATATTTTATGCGATTGTAGGCGCGTGTGCATGTGCGTATGATTCTTCGTCTTAGAAGTCAGGCAGGGGATGTTTGTTGATTGGAGGCAACGCGTTAGTGCATCCGATGCCTTCAAAAATGTTCTCGTAAGAAGTTGACGGAGAAATATGTTTTAACGAGCATGCAAATATGTGCTTCTGTGTCGAGTGCTTCCGGGATGTGGTTAACTTCCGGTATAGTTTTGTTGTTTGATTTAATTTAAAAATTATTTCATCATTCCCTCTCCGTTGCCATGTTTCAGATGAGTTTCTAATTTTGGCGAAGATGTTTATCTCATGAGTGGCAAGCAGCAATAATCATTTAAGTTTGCCGACCTTAATACAAAACTCTCTCACTCATAAGTCATCATCATCATCACTATAATCATCATCAATATCATCATCATCATCACTATAATCATCATCATTATCATCCTCATCATCACCATCATCACCATCCCATCATCAAAATCATCCTTATCGTCACCATCATCTGAAAATTATTATCATCACAATTGCCACAAAAAGCACTACCACTATCTTTATCATAAACAACATCGCCATTATCATCATCATCCCAACCATAAAATGCATCTTTACAATCAAAAACAACGTCACCATCATCACCATAGACTATCATAAACAAAGTCCTCATCATCATCGTCGTCATCAGCATCACACCGAACAGCCCACATTCCTTGCACTGGCAGCGAGGACGCACACAATTAAGAGTTGAACGCCGGCCGGCACAATTGACAAATTGAAAAGTTGTTCAATATTTCTTTATAAAATTCCTCGTCCCTCCTGTTTACTTCGAGTCAACATCAATCCCCAATTGCTCGCGCGTATACACACACCAGCAAAAATACAACCAAACATAGATCTACACACACGTTAACACATCCATACTTACACACACACACACACACACACATACACCACACTTATTTTTAAACCATAGAACATAGCAATCGAATACGTTAATAAACACATACACACGGATATATACATAAATATACACACACACACAAACACATACACTTATAGACACTCACACACAGCCTCATCTTGTTCACAGAAATGGACCAACGCAATCAAAGGACAAGCTCAGGTGAATTAAAAGCCCATATTTCCTCATTCCAACTCATCTACCATTTCACTTGCTTATCCAGGTGTTTTTTAAGGTTTCC